TGATCAGCGGAACTGTAATGTCTACATTTTTTTGCCCCAAATTGACCTCACGGACATGCCTATGATCAGCGTGACATATTGGAATTAAAAGAATGTCTTTCCCATCATCTATATGCTTCTTTATAGATATTTTCCCATCCATTTTTTCAATAGTTAGCGACTAAATCCACAAAAAAAAGAGAGGAAGAAAGTCAAATAAGATATAAATGCAACATTACTTGTTCAAGGTTTATGTTTGATATTACTCACACTGAAATATGAAGTGATTATTGCAAATCTTCTTTCCAATTCACATTTTTTGGTAGCTTTAGCCAATTCTGAAGTCTTGCAATCAATAATGCTTTAATAGTCTAGAGATTCTAAATGCAAATAAATAAATGTAAAATATAGAATTTTAATAACACCGCAAGTTAAATAAAATATTACCCCATCGTTTAATCTTCCACCATGTAGCAGATGGAGAATATCATATCTATTTTTACTATGGTTGTATACAGCATAAACAATCCTTTTTCTAGATAATATGCACAACACAATCAATGTATAAGTATTACAGAAGCTAATAAAAAAATCACAGAAAATAACTATTTATCACAGCCAACTAATAAGTGTCATAGGGAATTAACAATTGTCATAAAAAGACTATGTATCACAGTCTACATGTAAATGTCACAAAAAATAAGTAAAGAATCATAGAAAACAATTTACTATCACAACAAACGTATAAGTGTCACATAGAATAAATAAGACTCACATAAAAAGATTATTATCACTGTCAACATGTAAATGTCACAGATAATTATAAATAAGGTCATGAACAATGAACAAGAAAATCATACTTCTGAAATAAACATCACATGATATTAAAAGCTATCACAGATACTGAATAACTATCATAAAAATTACAAATATCTCATATAAAATTCATAAATAACTATTTGATACTTACTTGTCCACTTTTATTGTGAGAAAATGTTAAAGCCACTTGTTCTCATCTTCATATAAATAAGTTATATTCTTAAGGGTAAAATTATGATAAAAACCATCTTCGATGACTCCCGGAAGCCTGATATCAAAGTCTTTCAAAAAAGGCATACCCATAATCAACATCTCCAATAATTTCTTTTCTTCTCTATTTTATTCTCTTCTCCATAAGTCTTCTATAGATGTTCTTGTCTCGAGATATGCAATTGCAAGTTCTTCCTTCATTTTCCTTCTCCCTCTTGTCTTTGTCATCCTTTACCATGACTTGAGCTTTCTTCACTTTCATTCATTTTTTAGGGATTACTGTTTGGAATGAAGAATCCAAGGACTTGGGCATCTTCGTTGTTCTCTTGCTCTTTTTTTGTAACCCCTGAACAATTTCTGTCAATGTTTCTTCATTTTTCTTCCTCCTTTTCTTTTCCTTTTTCTTTTTAGTAACTTCCATGTTTACTTTTGTCACATCTACAGGCTTGCATAAAGACCACAAATAAATTGAATATATCATGGAACAAATATGATATTAATAGTTAAAAGTCATAAATAATGGCTATATATCACAGTAAATGAGTGTATGTCACAGAAACTAAATAAGTGTCACAGGAGATAAACAAATGTCACGGGAAATAATTATCCATCACAAATAATGAGTATACATCAAGGAAAAATGTGTAAGTCACAGAAAAAAATTACGTATCACAGTTAATAAGTATCATAGGAAATATGTAAATATCATAGAAAATATACATGAATCATAACGAATAAATATATGTTACAGGAAAAGTGAAAATCATAGTAAAGAATTATGTATCACATGTAATAAGTGTCACAGAGTATAAGTAATTATCACAGGTAATACGTAAAATTCATAGGAAAGAACTAATGATCACATGATTTATGTAAGTGTCACGGGGAATAAGTTAAAGTCATAGGAAATTATTATCTCCTCAACTTCTCATGACTTGTCTGCTCTCTCATCATTATCTTCTTTCTCTCTGGCTCATCTTTTCTCTCTCCCTCTACTTTGTTATTGTTGTTTCTCTTTTTTCTTTCATTAACTTCCACATTTGCTTCCATTACATCTACAGGTTGCGTAAATATCTCAAATAAAATGAATATTTTAGAGAACAAACAATGTGCACATGAAACAGGAGAAAAAATTATTGCCTCCTCATCTCCTCGAGACTTGTCTACTCTCTCATCCTTATTTGATCTCTCTTGTTTCTCTTGCACAAACTTTTCATCAATATCCTTCCTAATGACCTTCGGATCAATGCCAAGTCTTACAAGTTCTTTCTCATAAGCTTCAGTCAACATTGACAGTATCTCATAAGCTTTATTCTATATTAACAATTAAGTTTTAGTGAGTAATGTCACATATAAGAAGTAAAATGCACATATTAACCACAAATATCACATAGAAACTACATGTGTCACATAAAAATTTACACAATCCACATATTAACAATAAATAGTAAATCATAAAAATGCTAATAACATTTCAAATATAAATGTCATTAATAATAATATTAAGAAAAAAATAAACTTGTCTCACCCATGCAACAGTGGATTTTCTCCCTTCCTCTTTTTTAACTCTTTTCTTTCTTATAGAGTTTTCAGAGTTTGATTTCTCCTCTCTTTTAGCCTCCTACTTGTATGCTCTTGCTTGATCTCCTCATGAATGTACGATGTCATATCTTGTTCAGGTAAGATGTGGATTGTGGTTTCTGATTTTTTTCCATATTGTTGCACTTCATAATGAACCCACTTTTTTACCTTTTAGAGTCCAATTAGCCATTGGTGGCTTTGAATCTTTGAGTCTAGCATATTGTTTGATGTTCGTGATCTCATAATACCATAACTTCAAAAAAGCAACAATCAAGCCAGCTCACTAATATTTCATATCACTAAACATTGATAACTATCACAGATAAAAACTAAATGTAATAGTTCACTCATAAATGTCACATATCAATGACATATGTCATAGGTAAATACAAATGTCACAAATGAGAGATAATAGTCACATGTTAACTATACAAATATCACAAATGATAACATAATTAACTTTTCCATTCATCGATAGTAAGGGAGCACATCCATTCAAGTACATCTCCCTTGTAGCTATCTTCGTAGCTTTTAGTGAAATCCACACTTCATTGTATATTATAGTTGTCCATTGGAAATTATCTATTACATCTATACTTGTTATATACTTGAACATATGTCTTAGTATATTCATTCTTATGGTTGGAATCCATATCATTGTAAGTTGGTAAAGTATTTGAAGCATCATGAAATCATGCACATCATGTTTCTTCTTTGACCCAACCAGTTTCTCCAATAAATGTTCAAGATATTCTCGTCCACTTTTGTAATCATTCTGTTGCTTCTTGTTGAAGTAGGTACTCTAAATCCTATTAGTTGTATCACGATTGGGTTTAGGTTTCTCCACTTTATCCTTGAATCTAGTTTGCTTTTGTGCCCATTTCACATCAAATGTATATACTTGTTTTTTTCCTGTTTGACTATCATTGAAAAAGAATTTTCTAGTAGCTAAAACATGGTGCTGAATGAGTAGGAGAGTTGTTGTTTGGTCCGATAGAATCGCTCCAAATCTGATATAGTGTTTGAAATTAAAAGATCCATAAGCATTCCTATGTATGGGCCTCATACACGGAACAATTTTTTCCATAAATTCACAGTACCCTCGTATACTCGTGCATATTCTTATATCTCTAGATACATCACAATCACCCTTACTGCAAAACACAAAAATAACATGCATAACTAAGAGTCAAGAACACAAAGAAACTTAGAAACATACCTAAAAATAATTACTGAATCTTAAATAATAATTAAGTATGCAATTGCAACTTGCAGTCGATAAGAAAATTGCAAATAAATGCTAAATCTTAAGTCGATAATAAACTTGCAATTTATTTACAAAAAATAACATTCTATATGCCCTGCAATAATGCAATCCAATCAAGATTTAAGCTTCACTTAATTTACTACAAAGTTCTTGCATATGAGAACAAATCAAACTCTCCTCTAAAACGATTAAAAAAAAGGGGAAATTGATTGTGCATCATTATGAGACCCATGTTAAAGCAAAGAACACCATGCAAATAAATGATTCTGCTTGAATATCCCTATAAATTCTCTCAATACACAATGACAAACACAAATGTTGACAAAGTAAATTAACCAAAAAAAAATTCGAAGTCTTATGTCCTGTGTCACCTAGTTAAATTGTTCTGTACTAAACAAACCACTGCAACTTTGTCCACAAATAACAGATGCAAGCTCCGAACTCAAAAGAACAAGGGAGGAAACAGGCACTTAAAAAATAATAAATTATACTTGCAAGTCATCCTTCCCTATTGCTGATTCAGATGATGAACTTGATTTCGCCATGAATTAGAGTAGATTTTATCCAAAAACCAATTCTATAATGGGTTTAGAATTGAGGGTTTGGTTCAATTGATCTTCGAGAAGAAGAGGGATGTGGTCTTAAGATATTAGGGTTAGGAGTTGGGTAATTTTGAGTTTAGAAAGAACAAGAAAGGGAAAAAACTCAGAGTTTAGAAAGAACATAAATTTATTATTTGAAGTTGCTACAAAAAAAAAATCCCAAAATATTTTAGTTGTTGACTCGCAGTCACATCGAGAGTTCAGCTGATATCACGCTTCAGACTCGGTAGACGAACTTCAGTAAATACATTAGAATTAGAAGCAGTGAGACTGGCGTCAGATAAACCCTTATGTATTTATTTTATTTAAATAAAAACAAAAACAGAGGCCATGATAAACTCATAAAGCTTTGATCTTTCTACTACATTAAGTCTGTGGAGGAAATTTAGCACCCAGATAACTAGAGCAAATATTACACTTCTGATGATACTACTGCAGGCATCTATGAGTTACTCAAAAGGTACATTTTGAAGATAAAATCCAGAATCCAGAAATTATATTAAGCAAAAATTTTAATTGCAGCAAATTTCAGAAGATTGAGGGAACTTTCCAACATAAAAAATGATATATTACAAACAAATAGCTTTTCACATACAAAGAATAATATATAAGCCTCCAAAAGTGGCTTCAGTACTATCATCAATTACATTACAAACATGCAACAATACTCAAAACAGTTGTAGAATCCTCTCCTAAGGCAATCTAAACCAGCGTGCATGTCACACTAGCTACAGGTCCACAAAAAGAGACCTGTATGCTTTGAATACCTTGCTCTTAAAAAAATAAAATCAATCAATAAATCAAAATAAAATGAAAATAAAACAAGACCTATATTCTGATATACCAAGCTGCCTGCTGGATAAGTAGGCATATAATGATATATAATTTACAAATATGCACAGTTCGTGCAAGTCATATTGCACTTAAAAATCATTAATCTGACCGCTGTAGCAAGAATGAAAACCCTGAATTTTCACGGATTAATGGTGGTGGATCAACATCAGATGCATCTACTTGTGCCATTGATTTGGATATATCATCCACAGAGAATGGTATGCTGCAAAATAATAATAATAATGATAATAATAACGCAAGGAATAAGTCTGTTGATAATTATCTTCACGACGACTCGTAAGAAGAGTTTACCTTGAATCATCATCCAGCAAGAAAGAACTGCTGACTGCATTGTTTGAGTCCTCAGTCATCAATGTTCTCATGCTTGAAATAACCTAGACAATTATAGCTGGATCAAATATCAATTTTATGGAGTTTATCTTATTTTGCACACCAAATAGAAGAAGATTTACCTCCGAAGACACGCTATGTGTCCCGTATTTATCATCCCAATACATAGTACTGATTCTGTACAATTGTTGTATGCTAAGCACCTGAGTACAATGAAAATTTACCGAGAAAATCATTTAGTGTCTCCTTTTTCCTTTCTTATGGCACGAATTTTGAAGCTAGAGTTACTCACTGGACACAAATCATTGGTTATCTCCTTCAATGACTTCTTTGGCTTCTGATGTATCACCTGGAAGACCAGAATGACATGAACAACAACATAGATATAGAATAAAAGGAAGCTTTGAGCTATGTGCTCCTAAAATAGACATACCAAAAATCCAACTGCCTGCCTGATATGCTTCAGTTCATCCCAGGCTGAACCTACATACTGTGAGAAGTTGTATTTTAGATAAAATTCCTTTTCATAAACCAACTGAATCAATAGGACCAATACTGACCTCTTCAGTTGCACCAAAACACCATCTTTCCAACTCAGCCAATCCAGCTTTCACATATTCCCCATTGCTAAATGAACAGCACTCCCTTCGCAAGAGAAGGCTACAGAATTCGAGAAGGAAACCATTAGTCATGGTATTAAGAAAATATAACTTGATACTGGTAGATGGAGAAATTGTGCATTAGAAATGAGCTACCTGTTGAAAAGCTGAACATTTATGAAGGAAAATATTTGGGTAAACACCTTCCGGATTAAAAATGGAGGAACCTGCAAAGATCATGTGTCAGGAGTGAAGTTCTTATTTAATTGCAATATAACAAGAACTCATAGAAAGCTTACATAGTTGGCTCGCAATATTCCTAAATAGTTATTCAGGCTTTTAACGATGCTTTGCCAGTGTGCAATCAAAGCCTGTTGTGCCATGGCATTAGCTTGAGAACGTGATCCTTTGACCAAACTTGCACGGGATGTCCTTGGTGCCTGCACCCAAAACACAATTATATATAAGTAACTTAAATCAAAACCTAATTTAATAGATTCTGCAGAATTAATTATCTGAGATTGCTTAACAATTGAAGGCTAATTTTTTTTAATGTTTTACTTAAGATTTATTGAACATGCGGAATGTAGTACCTGGATACACAATCCCAGCAATGGGGATATCTCTTTCTTCAAGTTATCTCTTATCATCCCATAAATCTTCTCAAGGAAAGCTGTTAACTGTTGCTTAAAGAGCAAAGCTGGATATTTGGCTTCTACTTGGCGCAAATCATTCAATCCACTAAGCATCCTACCATTAAGGAAAGGGAGCCCAGCACTTTGAGGAGACCCTCGGAGTCCCTGAAGATTAAAAAAAGAGAAGATATCGTAAAGGAATACTGGTATGCACAATCTATAAGTAAATATTAATGGTTGCATCCTTTACTTGAGACATCCTCCCAAACAAAGAAGCTGACGAGGGTCTTCGTCTTTGTGGAGTCAAGCTAGCTGCGCCACTTGCTTTCAATGTCCGTTGTAGGAACAAAAGTAAAGTGGACGAATTGGATAACCAGTAAGATAGTGCATCATTGTTCTCCTGAGTCTTGAAAAGGAAAGAATACCAAGTTTCAATAACAGACAAAAAAAGCTAATAAAATAAATTTCTTTGTATTATATACCTAGTAGCACTATCTAAAATGCAAACATGGAGACAAAAGTTACCTCTATAGCAGAGCCTATTGCTTGAATGATTCGGTCAAAAACAGTAGTTCTTTCAACTTCAAATGATCTCCAGTGAAGAAGACATTTGTATATGACACAAGCCGCAATAGGTCTCCCATTCGAGAAGCCAAGGTCTTGCGAAATGCACTTGATCAGCAAGTCCTGGTTTTCCTGTATCACCAAATTAACAGTAAATAGAAATTGAGTGGAAAATTAAGATCGTAAGTGCAACCTTCAAAAAGCTACAGAAGGTAAACCAGGACAGACATGCCCTTCCCAGATTTCCCTATTGTATAACTTATTGTCTTTCCTGTGCTTCTAGTCTAGACTATACTAGTCTAGGTTCTGAAGTATACAATTTTTCAGGGTTGCTCCTCCATTGCTTAGCTTACTGCATGATAATAGGAAGGCTTCCCTTCCCTTACACGCCCATCAAGGTCTTATTGTAGATCTCTTTAGTGTCCATAATTTCTTCAGTGAAGGGTTTGGCAGCTACTCGAAAAGGTGATGCGGATTGATATCAATAAACATGGTCAGATTTTGCTCGGAACATTCCTGATCTGGAATTGTGCCCCGTAGCCGACTCCATTTAGATGGAAAAGGCTTTGATGATAATGACAAGAAGGACAACAACATGACATTTACAGACAAAGTGTTTTACATTCTTATTTAGGTCAAAAAGGCCACAGCTACCTGTTGCTTCTCATTGAGAGACTTCTGCGGCTTCTCCTCATTTTCAAGCTCCTTGTAATTGACTGCAGCAGGAGTCATATCCTACAACATATGTGGAAACATAAGCTTATGAATGATTATTCAAGGAAGATGCCAAATATGCAATTATAGAATATGCATCTACACTTACCAATGCAAGTTTTGTTTCACCATGCAAAAGATTCCCATTATCTGGAGTTCTCTGTTAACATGAAATAACAAGTTTAGCATGGATATATAAGAGCATAAGTTACAAGCATCTGATGTTAAAGCTAAGAGATGTAGCAAAAACCTGAACAATAGTTGTTCTTGGGCGCCCAGATAAAGCTCTGCTAGTGGGTGAAATGGCGAGTGCCTGTTGACGAAGTACTTGATTCTCTGACTCAAGGTTGGAGAGCTTCTCTTCAAGCCTGTTTATCAGGGCAACTTTTACTTCAAGTTTATTGAGAAAGAAATGAGAAGAAGTTGTGCATGTCAGGTTTTTAATTTTAAGCAAAACTGTATGTTGGAGTTGGTTATGTTTCCCTTTTACAGTGTACTGCTTTAGCATAATGTTCACGCCACAAACATAAACAGAAAATAACCTCTGAACAGAATCTTGAAGCTGATCAACTTTGGTTTCAGCATCTTCAAGTTTCTTCATGAGTTCGCCATTTCTATCTTGAGCTTCAGCATATGCTTTTTTCACATCATCAGCTGACTGCCTCTCTGAGACCAGTAAAGCCTGTTGCAGAAAAATCACGCTAGGTGAATATACATGAGAGAGGACTTAGCCACTAACACTGTGCAAGTGCTAAGAAAAAATTATTCAGTAATCCAGCTCATAAGATGCAGTTTAGCAGGGAGATAAGGAAACTAGGTTGCATGGATATTAATGATGGATGAGAATCAAAACTAGCAGCCCAAATTTGCAGACATATTACAAAAACTTGTACTCTCAAATTTTAGTCCTTTTCTTATCCCTTTTGCCTCAATCAATATTGCTTTTCAAGTGTCAAAGAAATCATTAAATTGCTAATAAGGTTTTTACAGTGCAAAAGTTTAGATGCCTTAATCCAGCAACAGATAAACTCTTTGTTGATACTGAACCAAAACACTTCCAAAACTATGGTCCAATGCTTAAAAGTGAGCTAAATAAATTTAAAATAAGGCTTAGGTTTTCACTTTTCATAGTGGAACTGAGTTAATAATGAAAGGGACCTGAATGGCTTACATTATGTGCTTCATACAAGGCTACTCGTAAAACAGAGCAACCGAGGCACACGTGTGCACACACACACAAATAGACACACTTACATATGCAGGTTACTCAAATTTCTAGGGAACAGACACCACTTAGAAGAAGAGATTTGCCATACAACCTATATTATATTTTTAGAACAATGATGCATATTAAATCCTTTTGAAGCATTCATTTAATGCTCTAAGTATAATTTGTGTCATGGACATTCTGTTTCATTTCTTTTTCCTTTTCGAGAGAGAAGTTTCAGTTGGTTCCGATAAATGCAACAACACTGCAAGTTTTACATGATAGGATTAGTTAAAGTTCTACTTAGACTAGGGAGACTGAAACAAAGAGGGTGCTGTTGACAATAGGAATTTTAACGCACTGTAACCTAATGGACTAAATGGCAGAAAATTCATACAGTTGACCACAATGACGTGCTGTAACTCTTTTTCATCCTACCGCAGTGTTATCATCTGCTCATGAGTAGATTAGTATATGGGTTCCAGAACATGGTAAAGCCACTGCATGAAGTTTTTCCTGCACGTGAAGTACTAAACTTCAGCAGTCAGTGAATCAATGAGAGCATCAAGACATTCACAGCTACTATTTGAATTTGGTCCGGTAGTCAAGTTTGGACTTCAGTGGTCAATTAGATATGTCATATGCCAACTTAACTGTGGTAAATGGACCTTAGAGTTGGGCAGAGAAAAGGAATCACATAGCTTTCTGAAAAGACTGTGTTCAGGGTTAAATGATATTGTGTTATCAGAAACTACTATAGCTCTCTATAAAAACTCAGCAGATGCTTAGCTTAAGTTTGATCCCACCTTTACGTGTTCAACTTCAGCTGTCAGGGAATCTATCTTTTCTGTATCTTGAACTAATACAGGGGTTTCCTTGATAACTGGTGGGGCTTCTTCAATGGCCTTCCGTGCAATCTCTCTTTCCTTGATAAGCAGGGATTTTGTTTCGTCCGCTTGTAATTGCATCTCATGCAAGGTCTCTTGCAGCTTAGTAATTTCTGCAGCCTTTGCCTCCTCTAGATCACTCTGCATTTCCAAAATCAACCACGATTAAATTTAAAGGTTCAATTTGTAGTGACACGTCAACTTAGGTTAATCGAAGACCACATATCAAACTGAATGACATAAATCTTTTTCTGCCACTTGTGCAACCAAACAAAAAAAAACAATTTAAGAATATTAAATTGCATACTCTTAATCGTTTTTCCAATTGCAAACGCCATGTCAGCTCCTCTACACGCTTTTCCAGTTTGTCTTTTGCTTCTTTAAGAGCCCCGGTCTCTCTTGCAGCCTACAAACAATTTGGAAAAATATATTAGCAACCCAATAATGATATTAGGTGGCATGAATTATATCTCATATTTAGATAAAACAGAAATATTAAAGAACAGATTAAGAATGAATAGAATAACCAACCATTTTGAGCTTTCTGAGCTCTCTTCTCGCAATCCTTTGTCTCCAAGCACACTGATAAGTTAAAGATGCATCCTTCAGATTCTTGTAGTATGAATAATCTCTGTGACACCGCCATTGAGCCTGTAAAGGATTGGAAAATGAACCAACTCATATTAATCTCAGATCATAAAACTAAATCAACTAAACAAAAGATAGTTAAAATCTACATTGGCTAGCAATTTTTTTGCTCCAAAGTGTCATAAAGAAAAACTACCTGGACAGCAATAGCTGCTTTAGTTTGCTTTCTGAACCTAAATTCGTTGCGCGAACTCATTGTCCTTAAACCTGTCTGCAAGATGATTGCAGATTCTCGAACTGTTTTATAGGATTTCCTCGAAATGTGTCGACGCAAGTTCTTCTGAATCTTTATTGCTGCTGCCTCACGCCTCATGTTTTCATATAATTTGCAGGCAAGCTTTCCTACAAGCAATAAAATAAAGAAGCGATGTGATCTTTAGATTGGCATGAGAAGTACATTGTGTTAAATGGCTTCTGATTGACACATAGGGAGCCCAACATAAGGTTACAGTAACTTTAGTTATCACATGACCGTCAAATAACAAATAAAGCAAATAAGAGTAAGAAAGATAAGGCATTACAACGTTAAAGCGTCTTATAAATAAAGCAGTTTCCATATAAAGGTTTATACCTCTCCAATGTGATTGCAAATGAATGGCAGCCTTGCGTAACATAAGGAATTCTTTACGCGCAATGTGTGTCCGAATTTGCCTCTGTATGCTTCTCGCTGCTCTTCCCAGTACCTCAGCTCTTTTGGCATCCAGTTCTGCCATCTGTCCAGCTCTAAGAAATACCTTGGTTTTACCTATCTGCCAAAGCCAAACATCCATGTTGGTGTTATGAGAACCCTCTATAAGTTTCAACATTCACCAAAATGCTATTGCAGTAGGCATAAGAAGCATGATTATTAAACTTTCTATCAGAACATCAATTGCTTTTGTTAGTGACATGTTATCCTGAAGCAATGTAGTTTTCAGTAGGAGTCTCACACCTTATCCACTTGGTAAGGGACAAATTCCACACTTTGTTTTTTCATGTTCATGTAGTCATTTATATATTATTGGTTCCTTGTAAAGGATAAATGAAGTTATACATTATAGAAGGTTGGAATTTACCTGATAACCTTGTAGCTTCATTTTATCTAGAATCTTTTGGCAAGTGACCTTGTCATCCAAGCTATGCATATACGCCCAGATAAAAGCTGTAAGGTGTTGCTTAATTGCAACGAAATGAGTAAAGTACAAGTGAAGAATAACAGAACTTACTTTCCTTCCAAAAACTCTGGGGCAAGGACACCAAAGCGATTAACAAATTCATAGAATGTCCTTCTAGTTGGATATCCAGCACAGCTGATCCTAATTGCTTCAAGGACACCCTAAGGATGACAAGAAACGTCAAACAGTAGAATTCGAGCAAGTAGACTATGATGGCATTTTAAAATTAGATACTTACACCACATCGTAGCTGTTGAATAATATTAGCATTCTCGAATATAGCAGGTTTAAGGACATTGTTTGGCTTCACACATCTGATATAATGAGGCTCCGTAGAGTTTAAGGTTTCCATCAGCGATTGAAGTTGTAGCTGTCATCCAAAGGTTGGTAATCAATATTTCAAGCAAGATTAGCTACCCATGCTCAGCTGATTAATCTAAATACCATCATGAAAACTACAGCCATTTTATACAGAATGTCGTATGTCATCCAGAAAAAATTTTAGGTTGGAAATTGTTTATTAAGCACAGAATGCAAAGCATTACTTAGTGGGATGCTAAAGTGCAAACATAACACCAAACAGTGACACATATATACGGTAGAGTGCTTGACAAGATCCAGAAAAGTTTTGTAGAATGTTGTAAAGGGCAATAACTTCCGACTGCTTGATAGCTTTTACCTAATTAGAAGTTTCTGCAAATGATTGTTCATAGAACGTTATTTACCATCCAGAAAGTAATTAATTAGCTCAAAAGGGAACAGAAGTAGTACGGGGAAAATGCTGGAAATTTACATTTTCGTATTGCTAGCTTTCTGTAAATCAAATCAGTGGAAAAATGTCTCACCAAGATAATCTCAGAATAATTGCATACCTTGGCGAATGTATTCTTAGATTTAAAGGTAATCTGTTATCACGTATCAGAAATATAGATGCTTTTGAGACAGCCACCGGAACATCAGTAAAGAGGATGTCATAAGATTGAATCAAGTTTTTGCATTAACAAACTCATCATTGTGAATGAACTACGCATTTACACTCATATCTTGTATGATTACTCAATATAAACTACAATGAATCTTAACCTAATGCACACAGTTACCCCTGTGATTGGCCTCTTTACATAATCATGTTTGGCAGGCTGCTGCAGACCAGTATGTCAGGTCTTCATCGAATGCATTGTTTTCTTGTATTCCCTGATCCCAGAAAGAATCATTGTTCTACTGTTTTGCATTCTTGAAGATAAGGGCCCTATACTATATTTGATTGATAAAGGTATCTTATTGTTTAAAGTTCAACTACAGGCTACCAAGTTTTCCTTAGAGATGCCTTTTCATGCAAACAAAGGATTGGTATTTCACACTATTAACATAAGAATTAGTATTGAGTAACTATGGATATACTTATCAAGGTTGTGTGACTCTTTATCATCCAACACTTAATCAAGGTTATTTTTTTCTGCACCTTCATTATACAGAGTGATTGGTGTCGAAAAGGTAGGTAGCGTGGGCATTTCAAACATGAAAATGCGTCACGTGAGATGTGTTGAAAAAGTGTGTCAGACACATATTGAACATGATACATCTGTTATTTTGTACTTTCTATGTACGTTGGTAAGCTTGTAGTATCCATGTTCATGCACCATATATGAAAAATGACAGCAACAATTAGTATAGTTGGGAAAGCACAACAATATTTTTTTCGTGTTTGCCATTTTTAGTTTGATCCGAGATAAATCCACATTCACAATGTTACTACTACGTTTCTACAACCCACAAGGAGATATATTGTCGATGAGTCAATGACTACGAGCTACCATTTGTTTTAGGGATGGGGACTTTAGATATATAGACTATATGTAGAAGTGTAGGAACTGATTTCAATAGTATATAACGTGTGCATGACTATATTCACGTGATTTTTACATAATGATGCATTATGTAAGGGATTAGCAATATCTATCTATTGGAGTTTGGCTCCTTTTGGTTATGTTATATTATTGGATCAATGTGAAACAAAGAACTACTTTGTCAAGAAGCCTTACATGCATGACAATATGGAAATATACCTTGATGTCAGTTCAAGAACATAAGGTTCAAAAATCTTTCAAACAAATTTACTCCAAAATCAAATAAATAATACCAAAAGCAACTCTTAACTAAAAATAAAAAGATAAGTTTTAACCTTAAAACGTGATCCAATCGAAGAAAATTTAGAAGACTTGGACGTCTCCACAGGAAGTGGTGGAAATAGACCCGCCACAAAAGAACATTTGGAAGCATTCAATAAATCCTGATGTTCAGCAACCACATAATCTTTGTTTTTGTCTAAGAAGTGATCAGCTTGATACGTTACCTATAGCAGAGATAAGAGTTGTACTAGAATTACGAAAATTACTCATGCAAGATGACTTGTTGAACAAACAAATTCTTACCTCGCCTGCATAATGAGAAATAGTGAAATTGGTACGAGAAAGCTTTGGCTTGATAAACCTCTTGCTTTTTGTAAATGTTTGATATAACTTCTGAGCAAATGTCTCGTGTGTTGACTTAGGAAACATGCTGCAAGAATCATCCTTACAAATATGTATAAGCACCAACAACAAAGTGAAATCATACTTATCTATATTTAATGATTAAAACATTTAATATAAATAAATCTATCGTTGCAAACAGCTAAGGTCCATAAGGAAGACAGTTCTAGCTGCCACGCACACACGCACCCACCACCCCCATGCACGTAAGTACACGCACACACACTCATGCATGCGTGCACGCGCACAGAGAAGTGGGGAGGGGGAAGGGGAGGAGGAGGGAGAGGGGGGAAGGGGAGGGAGGGAGGGCTCACATACCAAGCTTCATCAAGCAGTGCAATAATACCACCGGGTTTCTGCAAAGAGAATTCATGCTTATATCAGTGATATATATTAACATTGCACAATAGGCAAATATAAGTTCATATACGTGGAATAACTACGTAGAAATAAAACTCTCCCGTGCAAGGATAACAGGACAAGTGAAGAATTTACGAGATGCCTGGGTCTTTATAACATTTAGTATATATTTTACAACAAAATGTCAGATAAGACAGCTTTACTGTATACGTCTGAAGGCTCCAACATAACATTAATTCCAGTTGAAAGCTGGTGAGTTGAATCTTATTTAACTCCATATATAACAAGAAATGTGGCATGACTTACTGAAGCTACTAGATGAGCTGCAGGGGGCATGCAATCGAAAAATGTGCAATATAATGTAGAAAGTAGTCGACCCTTATGTATTTAGCTAGGAAGTTATTTGGTTCCTTAGAATAGATTTCCATTTCTATATTTTAGTTTTCTGTTTTCCTTAATTATATTTGGTAGTTTCCTGTTTTCCTATTTTGGTAGAATTCCTGATTTATAGGGATTGTAGTTTCCTTTTTATGTCGACGTGTATACCAGCAACCCTAGCCTATATATTAGGATGTAAACGATCAAACTAAATAAAAATTCTTTTCATTGATTTCTTCATGGTATTTGAGCCGAACCCTGAACCCTAATCTGTTCCAAACACTTTTTTCCCTTGCCGTACTCTCATCATGACAAAATACGGCATGGCCTCACAATCTTCTTCCTCGGAAGTCACTTCTAGATCCGAGCCTAATTCTTCAGCCCCTATCATCCCCGATACTTCTTCTCATCTTGTCACAAATCATAAACTTCATTGCCATAATTTTCTTCAATAGTCACAGTCCATTTTTATGTACATCTGCGGCAGAGGGAAGGATGGACTACCTCACAGGAGAAATCTCTGCTCCAGAAACGATAGATCCTAAATATCGGGCCTGGAAAACTGATGATCATTTGGTTATGTCATGGCTAATAAATCCCATGACTACGGAGATTGGAAAAAACTTTCTGCTCTATAGGACAGCCAAGGAGATATGGGAGGTTGCACGTGAAACATATTCCAGCACTGAGAATTCCTCAGAGTTATTTGAGATTGAGACCAGATTATATGATCTACGACAAGGAGAATTGAGTGTTACTCAATATTTCAACACTCTCACACGTTGTTGGTTGCAATTGGATATGTACGAGATCTATTCTTGGAAATGTCCTGATGACTCTGCCTTGTATAGGAAGATTGTTGAACAGAAAAGAACCATCAAATTTCTCCTTGGCCTCAATAAAGAACTCGACGAAGTCAGGGGAAGAATCATGGGGATCAAACCTCTTCCAACTATTCGGGAGGCCTTTGCAGAAGTCCGTAGAGAGGAGAGCAGAAAGAAACTGATGATGACAGACAACCACATCACACCTGCTATCGAAGGGTCAGCCTTGTACACTCACAATTCCTCTCAGAATAATAAACCCAGGAAAGGACGACCATGGTGCGATCAATGTAAGAAACCTGGTCATGTGAAAGAGACATGTTGGAAAATATACGAAAAACCTACAGATTGAAAGTCATCTAGTGGACGATATGACAGAGAATCGTGCAAATACTGCTACCGCAATAGACAACAATGCAGAATTCAGTCCATTCACTAAGGAGCAAATTGAGGCACTGCAGAAAATGCTTGGTCACGTCTCCAGTTCCGGACAAGCACCATGATCCTCTGTCGTTTTTTTTTTTGAAGAAAATCAATCTTACTTTCTGAAATCCGAAATTCAGGAGGAGAACTCGAGGGAATATCAGATTTGGGATCTTCTCCAAGACAATGAGGCCATTTTTCCTTCAACAGCACCAAACACTTACACTCAACTGACTCCTCTTGAAGAACCAAACTCTGCTACTGAAATTGTCCCTACTGAAACTGTCCCTACTTCCACTCAATTGACTCCTCTTGAAGAGCCAAACTCTGCTACTAAAATTATCCCTACTGAAACTGTTCCAACTCCACCTCAACTTGACACTAATGATCATGAACTTCGTGTCTATATCAGAAGGAGAAGACCAACCGAGCATATAGAGGACACCATGCAGATCCGTGACTGTCAAGAACCAGAACCAAGTCTTCCTGCATCCGATAATCACAATGGCATGAATCTCTTATCTTATGACTCTCATGTGCCACTGGTTGATGACTCTAATCAGCCAATTGCCCACAGTAAAGGTGTCCGAGGATGCACTGATTATCCAATCGAAAGATATGTAGCTTATGGGAAATTGCTATCATCTTATAGGCTTTTGTTTCCAACCTTGATAGTGTGCAAGTTCCTAACTCTATCCGAGAGGGTCTAAAGATTCCAGCATGGAAATAGGCGGCTGAGGAAGAAATTCGTGCTCTAGAAAGTAATGACACATGGACCCTTATAGAATTACCTCATGGGAAAAATCCTGTAGGTTGCAGGTGGATATTCACGGTCAAGTACAAATCAGATGGAAGTGTCAAAAGATTCAAAGTCAGACTGGTAGCAAAGGGCTTCACGCGGTCATATGGGATAGACTACCAGGAAACTTTTGCACCCATTGCCAAGCTCAATATTGTTTGAGTTCTACTCTCTCTTGCAGTGAATCAAAATTGGCCTCTATATCAACTTAATGTTAAAAATGTCTTCTTGAATGGGGACCTTGAAGAAGAAGTCTACATGACTATACCTCCGGGCCTAGAAAATAGTTCAAATAGCAAGTTGGTTTATAAGTTGAAGAAATCCCTATACGGCTTGAAACAATCTCCTCGTGCTTGGTTTGACAGGTTTGCTAAGACTGTAATTGCAAATGGATACCATCAGTGTCAAGTTGCTCATACACTGTTTGTTAAATCCAATTCTAGAGGCAAGGTAGCTATTCTCATAGTATATGTAGACGATATCATCTTAACAAGTGATGATTCAAAGGAAATTATTAGACTAAAAAAATGCTTGCAGTGGAATTTGAGCTCAAGGATCTTCGGACTCTCCGATACTTTCTAGGAATGGAGGTGGCTCGGTCTAAGGAGGGAATTGTAATATCCCAGAGAAAGTACATCCTAGACTTGTTTAGCGAAACTGGCTTTCTTGGGTGTAAACCTGCTGACACACCCATGGATCCCAACAAAAAGCCAAACAGAAATGAAGAAAGTAGACCAGTTGACAAAGGAAGATATCAGAGACTTGTGGGCAAACTAATCTACCTATCACAACACAACCTGATATTGCCTACTCAGTCAATGTAGTGAGCCAGCACATGAATAATCCAAGAGAGGATCATTTGAAAGCAGTGAACAAAATTTTGAGATATCTGAAGATGACTCCTGGACATGTTTGCTCTTCAAAAGATCTGGAAACCGTGAAGTTGAAAAATACACAGATGCTAGTTGGGTAGCAAAATTAACTGATAGGAGGTCAACTACTGGTTATTGCTCATACGTCTGGGGAAATCTCGTCACTTAGAGAAGCAAAAAGCAAGTTGTTGTCTCTCAAAGTAGTGCAGAATCAAAATATCGTGCTCTTGCACTAGGAATATGTGAAGGAATGTGGCATCAAAGGCTATTAAGGGAACTTAAGATTGAGACAAAGGACACAGTCAAGATGTTTAGTGACAGTCAGACAGCTATTAGCATAGCCAAAAATCTTGTGCATCATGACAGAACAAAACACATCGAGATTGATCGACACTTCATCTCAGAGAAGGTCAACAACGGTATCGTGCAGCTAAGCTATGTTTCAACAAGACTTCAGATTGCGGGCATTCTTACCAAAGCACTACCAAGGATCAACTTTGATGAATTGAACTCCAAGCTTAGTCTGTATAACATATACAACCCAGCTTGAGGGGGGGTGTAGAAAGTAGTCGACCTTTATGTATTTAGCTAGGAAGTTATTTGGTTCCTTAGGATAAATTTCTGTTTCTATATTTTAGTTTTCTGTTTTCCTTAATTAGATTTGGTATTTTCCTGTTTTCCTATTTTGGTGGAATTCCTGATTTATAGGGATTCTAGTTTCCTTTTTATGTGGGTGTATACCAGCAACCCTAGCCTATATATTAGGATGTAAATCATCAAACTAAATAAGAATTCTTTTCATTGATTTCTTCATATAATCTTAAAAGTGAGCTCCGAATCAAATAGAAAATTTGTAAAAGATAGGGCATGTGTACGGGTGCGGATACAGGTATGAATATGGGTAAAGGATACGGTAAATTTATAAAAGATAGGGTACGGAAACACGGCTGTGTGTGCGTGTGAGCGTGCGTATATTAGCAATTTTATATATGATCATATTGTTTTTCTATTCACATCATATGAGGTTTGGATATGGGCTGAAACGAACCCAACCCATGTTCAACGAGTTTGAGGAAGTGGGTGCGAAAGTGTAGGATATACACCCAAAATGTCTTATGAGTGTTTTAAATTAAAAAAGTACTATGCAAGTGGGTAAATGTATGTATATATTTGAGAAGTGTCAAAGAAATCCAAGGAGTGTCGGCGTTGAGCACGTGTTAGGTACATGTATGGCTTCATGATAGAAGTACCCTTTGCAACATAGCTCAAAAGTGATAATTTTAGTCCACAAGATAAGTTCCAAGAAGAGTCAGGGTAAATAGATAACAAATCAATATCACAACATGGTATATCTCCCAAAATTGAGAATATCACAACTCGGTTGCACCCCTAACATTTTATAAATTGCATTTAGACTTTATAAAGGTCTCAATCTTCTCAATCTTGCCCCTTATGAATTTTAAAGGTTGCACCCCAACCTATATTAAAACACTAATTACTAGCAAATTGAATTAGCCCATTGGAAAGCAAAACCCCATTTAGATTCCCAACAATCAAGTCAAATGAGTCCAAACACAATAAAAGTTCAAAATTACTACAATAGAAACTAAGAAAACACCGAGTGCATACTAATCAGTTAATATTAGTTTTATAATATTATATTTTTACTTTTAGGTAAATAGATACTTATAGTCAGCCAGCCAAGAAAAAAATTTCTGGATCCACCACTTATCACAATGAATTATTATACCCTACATGTCATCTATAATATATTTTTTATTTGAAAGTACGTATTGGATGAGAAAAATTATTATATATTTTATTAAAAAGTTGATCTAATTGATGATCCAGATATAGAAACTTCTACTATTCATAAATTTTGAATAATAAATAGATCCTTTCAGAATAGTTACACCAGTAAAAGCCCCAGAAAATGAAATAATTCAATTCACGGTACTTCTCGAATGGAAACACGTACCATTTATACAATAATAAGTAGACCTTTCTAAAGGATGTCTTATTTGGCAAATAGACTTGTCAATAAATTGCATGCTTTTTCTAATAGGTTAAGAGTGCTCAACTAAAAAAATCGAGCTGTTTGTAATGCAACCCCCTATGTTTGAATGCAACATCAAAAATCAGCAATTTTTGTATAAATGCTTTAAACAATTGATTATTCTAATTCGAATTTTCCTAAGGAATGTTCAAGACGTAACTAATATCATATTAATAAGATGTAGCATACACTCACCTTTTCAATCAAGTCCAGAACATCTTGGTTATCAACAAATTCTATGTAACTCCAGTTGATTTCCTCCTTAGTGTACTCCTCTTGCTCCATTTTGAAGACATGCTGGCAGGACAAACTATCGAGTCAATGTCAAATATAACCGGGACCACAAGCAATAAGGCGAAAACTTCTGGCAGAAAAAGTGAACCTGGTTGAAATGTTGTTGCAACTTCTCATTTGTAAAATTGATACAGAACTGTTCAAAACTGCCCCAGTAAAATAGTGTTATATTAGGAAAAGATAAAATTGAAGTCACTGAGGCCTACCAATTTGAAATAACAGAATTTTCTCAACATTTAAACAGATTACCTGTTGCACTTAAAACTTTCAAACCCATAAATATCAAGAACTCCAATTAAAGATTTAGAGTTTGGATCCTGCCCTATAGATATATTGATCTTGTCAACCAACCTACAAAGTTAGAATAAGTCAATGATTATTAGCTCTACACTGTTCATCATAGCAACCATCAAATGGAAATGAATACAAATGCAAGTGAAGGATAATGCATGATCCTTACCAGTCAAAGAGGCGTGAATAGATTGTTTTTGCTAAACCATCTCTGCTGACAATGGCAGAACCAGGATCAAGAGTTCTTGTAATGACTTCTTCTGGTGTCACCATCACTCGCTTAATGAGTGCATCCTCTAAGCCCTGGGCATCACACCTGCCACAAAGAATATGATTAAACACGTTTGGCAACTTCCTAGTTGAGAAGAAATATCGATAAAGAAGATGGGATGCATGCTAAGAATTTACAAAAACCAGAACATACATGAGAAGTTTGGCCGCCATCTCAAGATGGAACCTTGACTTCTCATCCTTGATAACAGATGAATCTATCTCCTCCCCCTTCGCAAAATCAATATTCCCAATGTGAAGAATTGCAGCTACAACCCTGAATATTCCTTCCTGTAAATAACATATTCTGCAATATTATTACAGAGAAAACCAGGTTTTTCACAAGTATAATTTGCTATGAAAACAAATCTTCAACCTGTTCTTGCTCACTAATCCCAACTATATCCATGGCTCTTCGGGTAGCTAGATACTCATGAGCATCATTAACCCCGTCCAGCTCATAACAATCAGACTGGTTGAGATAATGAAATGATTTGGGATTCCCCAATTGATATTTCTCAATTTCCTGTCAGTCAAGACAATTCAGGTAAAGTCGTTAGTCATGCAATGGACACACAAGCAAGATTAGATCAGAAGAGCAACCAAATCATTGCATAAATACCTCAGATGGAGCTGCACATAGAAGGTAGAAGCAATGGTAATTTCTTTCTGGACTATTAATTTGACAGACACGAGACCTTTCAAGCAAGTAAGTCCTTATAGCAGCGCCAGATATCCTTCCACTCTTATCAAATTGAATCTCAACAAACTTGCCAAAGCGACTTCATTGTTATTTCATGAACAGAAAACATGCATGCACTATTAAATAATTAAACATGGAAAACATTGTAGTAGAAAAATAACAATAACACAACAAATATGTGTTTCATGCGATGTATCTGACTTCTACCCCTTCGCATAAAATGAAAATATTAACAAGCATCACATACTGGAAACATATACCTGGAATTGTTATTTCGAACAGTTTTGGCATTTCCAAATGCTTCAAGGACTGGATTTGACTGTAATAAAATGGTCAAAGGTACAGGTTTAGTTAGAAGGCTTCAGTCATCACAATATAGTAAAGAGGAACTTAAAAAAAAGCCCAAAAACTTATGGCTCTTGCATATCTGGCAACTCCAAAAGGCAGTAAGTGTCCACTTACTTCGAGAACTTGTTGTTCGACGGTCCTTCCTTCTATTCCAGAGCGTCCACCTAAGTGGGCAAGATACCTCATAAGCATCTTTGTTGTTTCTGTCTTACCAGCACCACTTTCTCCGCTAACCAAAATGGAATTGCTCTTCCCTTCATTTATCATCGCCCTAATTTCTTAGAAGAAATCATGTATCATAAACTTGCAATAAGTGCAAGCTGCCAAAAATTTTAAATTGAAAATTACCTGTAGGCCACATCAGCCACAGCAAAGACATGAGGGCTTAGCTCACCAAATGCTGCTCCCTTGTACTGTTCCATCATGTGGGTATCATAAAGATGAGGCAATCTTTGAAAGGGATTTATTGCAATCAATATGTTACCAGTGTATGTCTGAAATGCACCCAAGAAAATGTTGCTTAAAATTTCTGCTGCAATAGCTGAACCTGAATTCACGAGAATAAAGTACCAGACTCCAAGAATCTTACATAGATCTCATTAAGTTCATATCTAGTGGCCAGGTTTTGTAAAACACCCGGTTCATGCAGATATGACAGTTTCGTCATATCATCCACTCCTCCAGGTGGAGATTCTGTGTCCTTGGGGAATACTCTTGATATATTGGCAACGACCTTCACACAAGAGTAGGTAAAGAAAGTTATTAAAATATTGACAACAAGTATCCCCAATATTCAAATATGCTACTGTCTTCTTTTTTTCATATGAAAAATTCCAGCTCAGAAAGCTAGGAGCACTACATGGATCGAGGACCAAACATGATAAGCTTAGCTCTTACATGCTTTAGATCACAATAAATCCAAAATTGTCATAGATTACCTGACGGTCCATAGATTAGACTGGTAGGTTTCTTCTATTGTTTTCTCACACACATGCACGCATGCATGCACGGACACAGATATCCATATGGGAAACCAAGAGATATGAGGTGCCAGCACATTTTGCTAAATGAGCTACTAAGTGATATGCTAGTGCTGAGGTCCACTCTACTTGTCACATCGAAGCAGGTGGACCTCAAAGCTCATATATTTCAGTAGCTCATTTTGCTAATGAGGTGGTAACTCATAACCAATATCCCAAAATATTTATTATGTTATAATATACATACAGTTTACACATTTACGTATATGTAAGGTGACAAAGAGTTCATTAATGATTTAACAAGTCAACAAGCAAAGTTAGGACAGTTTGACTAGAAAAACTAATAAAAGTGAAAAGCCATGTCTAAGTAGCTATGCTTACAAAAATTGAGGGAAGTGGAACAACAAGTACTATGGATGGAAAAATGACTTATTTCTTTATTCAAGGACTGTACAATTTGGGGTTGGGGATTGTTATGATTGCATCATAATACTGATTAGAAAGAAAGAAAATGTCTCTACTTCAGAAACATACACCAGGTTAACAAAAATAGAGGGAGAATGGTTCCATCCTCTAGGATATTTTCAAATATGTGACATCTCCCAAGTTTACTAGTCAACGGTTAAAAAAAATTTCCTTCTTTAAAACTTTCCTCCACCCCTTTTACATACTTTTATCTTTATAAACACAATACCATTCTTATTTATTTGTTGTCTCTTTTTCTCTCTTCCGTGCACCACTCTTCCCACCACACCCCGCCCAATATTCTCTCTATTTTTTTATTTATTTCATCAATTTTATACGAACGTATCCACCTTTCATATGTTTCTATATACTTCTCGTATGTTTCTACCAATCTTCATATAGTTTGTCCATTTTTCATTTATTTCTATTTATCTTTCATATGTTTGTATCAACCTTGCGTACATCTTTGTCTACCTTGCATATGTTTATATCTACTTTTATGTGTTTTTTTCTTATCATTTATATGTTTTTATCTACCTTTCATATGTTTTCTTATGTTTTTCTAGTTTTTATGTTTCTCTACACCATTCACATGTTTCTGTCTACCTTAGACTTGTTTCTGCCTACCTTTCGCATTGTTCCATCTACTTTTCATAAATTCTTATCTACTTTTTGTATAAATCTACCCACTTTTTGTATGTTTTGTCTAATTTTCATATGTTAGGATCCAATTTTTATATGTTTCTAACTACCTTGAATTTAAAAAATAGAAAAATTAAATTTAGTGAGAAAACCTTGAGTAAAATCCATTTTAACGCACAAACATAAGCACAGATATACACACATATATCATATAGTATCCAGTATTATGTCTAACTCAGATTCAACATTCATATCTCGCGCTATGTCCACTGTCATTCACTCTATGCACACGGCCACCAATGAACCTGCCATCTGTGATTTGGCACCTTGGCAACAAGGATTTTGCAAAATCCAGATTTTTTTTTCAAAAGGAGAAGTTACCCGACTCGGCCATGCAAGTCATCCAAATAGCTTTATGCAATTTTATCAATTTAAGGCCACAAGAGACTCTCTGCACAAACATGTATAATAGACTGAAACTATAATAAAACAGCAGGACTACGTCCAAGAAGCGTGTATGCCTACAGCTACGCATAATAGATTGAAGAACTTGAATAAAATTTAGAACAACTTGCGAAAGGAAAACACATACCGACTTTCCATGCGTTGTACGCACATGGATTTCATGGCCATTGATCCCTGAAACCTCCCCATCTATCCAAGCCAAATCAGGGTCTTCAACCCACACATGAGAACCTACAACAATATTGACTGGAGCTGCCTGCAAAACCAAAAATGGTCAATACAATATAGAGAAATGATATTATCTGACTCTTATGAATGGTAATAGAACTGATCTCTTATTTTATCGTATCCCATGAGACCAATTGGGTTTTGACTTTGATGAATGATGACATGCATAGATCTCTGGGAGCTTGGGTCATTCTCTATGAAACGAGTTCAGAGATCAGACCCTAATTGGATTGGATAACACTGTCTCTTAATTTAAGATCAGTGGTTCCATGGAAAAGAGAAGTTGATGAATAAGTAAGGTTTCAATTGTTAACTTCTTGTAAAATGTTTCTAAACAATAAATTCTTCTGTCCTGGGTTAATGTTATGGCTCTCTAATGTCAGCACGTGAAATGTGAAACAAGTTAAGATTGCGAAAGAAAACGAGCAGGATAAGTACTAATTTGGTCGAAATAATATGCCCTCAGCTGAAACTGAGAGAACCCACAAAATGGTAACATAGAAAACAAAAAACTCACAACAGTGATCCACAGCTGATGGAATAGAGAAACGAGCTATCAATAACTATTATGTGAAAAAAAAAAGAAGTTAAAAAACTCCAAGCTAATTTGTAGTTGTAAAAGCATAGTGTTACTATCACATGAAACAATTAATTTGATATGGAAACTAGAATCTGGAATAAGACAAACTGAAGAATATCAGAGTTCCAATATTCTTTAGCTATGTGCGAGTCGCTCTAGTATAGGCTTATCCTTTTTTTTCCTCCATACATGTATTTTGGTGTAAGAAACTCCAAGCAAATTTGTAGTTATGTGAAAGAAGAATATCATTGTCACATCAAACAATTGATCTTATATTGAAATTGAAATCTGAAATTAGACCAATAGAAGAATATCAGAGTACCAATATTCTTTAACTATGTGTGTGTCACTCTAGTATAGGCTTCTCCTATTTATTTAATTTTTCAAAATTCCATACATGTATTTTGGTGTAAGGGTCATATTATGTGAAAGAAGGATGCTTTTTGCATGAAAGATCTCATGTGTACTCAGAACTATGACTTGAGAAGCTTCGTTGTTGTATTCCTCACAATTTTGTCATTAGATCTCCGCTGCTCCTTTATGTGTGGACGTAAGCTGGGCTTAACCACATAAACATGTGGTGTGACTTCTTCTTACTTTATTTTCTCAGCATATCTCGTGATCAGTAATATAAATTGGTAGGCAACAAACTGAAAATAGTGGAAGTGAGTTATTAGTTGCGGAACTTTCTTTTGACCTTAGATATCTTCATGAAGTCACTAATGAAAATATAGGTTTAACAATGTAAAATACTACAGGAATCTTCCCTGCAATAATCATAATGCATAGAGATTACCCTATTGTTCTCAAGTTGGAGCCTCTAAATATGGAGGAACCCTGAATATTATTTACTATTGTATTTTGTGTATTTGGAGAATTAGCCTCTGTTTATAGCATGCGACTACCCCATGTCTAAGACAGCTTTTGTAACAAATTTGCTTCAACAGACTAGATTGAGTGGCTGCCCAAGAGCACTCCTCTCCAAACCCTAAGTCCAGCCTGAATAATCTGAACTACCCTAGGATCAAACAATTCAGTCAATCAGAGCATGGGTCAGTATCCTAGTCCAAACTGTTTCAGCTAGGATGGTTTATGGCTCAAGCTTGTGGCTCACATGGGTCAGGACCCATAAGACTCCACTTTCTGTACAAGTACTTACAGTTTGTGTTTCTTCAGGTTCTGCGAAAAATTGTTTCTTTTACTTTTCTTCTTAAAGTGTATAAACCATCAAAGGACACAGGACACTACCACTACACTAAACCTTTGAAGTTGTATCGAGGGTTGTGGGTTATAATTTTGTAGTCTAACATGTCCCTACAAGTTAAGCGCCCTTTTTATGAGCTAAAGCCTGGACTCATTCAGCAATATCATTTCTTTTTTTAATTCACTTTAAAGATTATTTTGATACCTTGTCAAAGGATCCTGTTACTACACTAAAGTTTCAAAGTTGTAGTGATGGGTGACGACTGTAATTCTATGTTTTAACGTAAACATTAGCTCCTAATACAACTTTTAAAACTTCGTGGAGCCTACGTTATCATAGAGTAAAATATGAAATATACAGGCTTCCTAACTGCATCGGAGATAATTCTTAGGTGGAAGATAATATATCTTATTTATTATTTTCGTACACCAATGCAGGAGTCCTACATATAGCTCCTTTGATGCTTCTGTAACATAGATCGTGTGAAATTGATGGCTTAGTGGTGCTTTCATCAGCGGAATCGTTGTCTGTATTTCAAGGAATATAAGCTACGGTTTAAGTCATGATAAGAGTAAAAATGCAAAAATAGTTTATATTAGCAGCACATTCCTAAAACCATTAACCTATCCACTTATTGCCTTCTAGACTCTTGAGAACCAAATCAGATATCCCATCATGATCCAGATGCCAGCTAGAGTCGCTTAACTTCTAAATAATCTATTTACAAGTTTCATACTAAAATTGTGCTTCTTGTATCATTTCTCGCTATTGTAAGTTGTAACAAAATCCATGCTCCAAAATAGCCTCCTGAAAATTTTCCTTATTTTTTCCAAACCATAACCTGCTCTTGAACTGGAAACTTATAATCTTCACTAGACAATACCCAACTTGGGAATTTCATGACCACAATGACTATCAGAAAACCATTTTCCTGCAAATACATGGAAAAATTCCCACAAAATACAGTGATCTTTCCCCCCAAAATATATCTCCCCTAAATGAGTGGACATCCCAAAAAAATTACCACAAAATTCAAGAACTAAAAATACTAAAAAATTTCAAGCCATAACACCAGCTTTATCCATAACCCTGTGTTCAAACTCGCATCTTTACTAAAATTAAAATATCAGTATCCAAATAATCAATTACAGCCAGTGTCTTCTAGCTCATCATTTCCCCAAACTAATCAAAACTCGAACACGTAATCAAGCTCCACAATTCACAAGCAAACAACACTTTCCTGAATACAAAAAAAAATCCCCCATAAATACGGTGATCTAAAAAAAATTAATATCCCCATCACAAAATGCTAAAAAATGCTAAAACTTTTAAGCCCTAACTGCAGATTAGACATCTCTAGAATCAAAATCTCAGCATCCAAGTAACCAATTACAACTAATCTCTGCAAACTCGATCATTTCCCCTAACCAAACTCAAATCACCTACTCAACTTCCTCCAATCCGCAAACAAAACGACAAATTTAAGCAGAAAAACCTCAGAAACGATCAAAGTCTTACCATCTCTCATCAGATCAGAGAAGAAACGAAGTCGATCTTCGAGTCTTCAAGATCTTCGATCGAAGATTCGAAAAGTTCGCCTCTCTCTATCTAAATTTTCTCTCTCGCTGCCTCTCTATCTATCTTCTTGATGAAGCTAAAAACGACGGCAATGGTAAAGTTTTTGATTTCGAGCTCAAAAAATGATTTAATAAAACGAAATAAAAATTTAGGAAAATGTGGCGTTTGGGTTCGGACAGTGGGGTAGGTAAAAAGTAAAAAGTAATTGTGAGAAAAAAAGGGGGGGAAAGTACGCTCAGTTTGGGGCGAGATACGAGGCAGAGATCATTTTTGACTGCTTAGCTTGAAAATGACGGATTTGCCCCTATGAATTTGGTCGAACTAGGTCCAACCTAGCCAGTGGACGCCATGTCCGCCACCCTCAACAGTAGCTTCTGCTTTCTTGCCTGTTGAAGTTAGATGGGCTTTTGGGATGGGCTTGGGCTGCTTTTATTGAGATTTCGTCATTTCACTTTTTACTTTGTTGCAATTGTAATTAGGATGCAAGTATCAGTTGCGTACAACTACTGTAGTTGTTTGATTCAATTTTTTTAAGATTTTTTTTTTAAATATTAGTCCTTAACCACCATTAATTTAAATTAGTCTCCCTAATCGCTGAGTTGGCTCTCTGGTCCGCTAGTTCTTAAGTTGTTTCAATATTAATTTCTAAAATCATTTAAATTGCTTATAGGTCCGCAAATTGTTATGAGTAGTTTTAGATTATTCCTCCAATCAAGAATAACGGTCACAAGATATATGAGTCGGGGATCTAAGTGCAATTTCAATTATTTGAGATAATTGTTTCAATTATTTGAGATAATTGTTTCAATTATTTGAGATAATTATTCCAATTTATTAGTTTAGAATAAATTTTTAAAATAGCCAAAAACCAAACTTTTTTTAAAAAAAAATCAACTTCATTTAATTTTTATTACAGAAATCGACCCACTTTATGGTCACGTCAGCACCGTGGCCAGAAAGTGGGTCATTTTTTTTTAAACTCAATCCTAATTAGTCGGGGTTGGTAACCCCGACTATTTTGGACGTTGTTGGCAATTTGCCAACTAAATTAGTCGGGGTTCAAAACCCCGACTAATTTAGCACATATTTAAATTTGTCGGGGTTGGGAACCCCGACCATTTATTCTTAAAAGGTTTGCGATCATTTATTCCCAACCCCGACCGTTTATTCCGTGTGTCAATATTAGGTTAGACTATAACAAATTTTCCGCATGAACCAAAATCTTTTTTTTTTCCTTTACCCTTTCGTCTCCTCTCGAATTTCTCACCTCGGATCTCGATTGCAGGGCAGGAAAGAGATTAGGAGGAGAGAGACATAGATGGGTGCAGCGCCCGAGTGCGGTGGGCCCCATGAACAGAGCCTGATGACGGCACCAGAGGAGGAGGGGGTCCACGTGCTCAATAGCGGAGGAGACCCAAATTGGTGGCCCCTAGGGTTCAGATTTCATCCCACTGATGAGGAGTTGGTTCTTTATTATCTTAAGTGCAGGATCTGCGGTCGTCGGCTCAAGCTCCGGATGATCAGCGATGTTGATGTCTACAAGTGGGACCCTTGGGAACTTCCAGGTACCTTCAATTTGAATTTTGTTCCTTCCAATTATCTCATCTTTTGTAATGGAATGTAAATGTAAAGTGGCGATCTTAGTGTACCGTGGAATAAATTATCAGACCTTGAGAATAAATGGTCGGGATTCTCAACCCCGACAAATTTAAACATGTGCTAATTAGTCGGGGTTTCGAACCCCGACTAATTTACCTGGCAAATTATCAACGGCGTCCAAAATAGTCGGGGTTGCCAAACCCCAACTAATTAGGAACACGTTCAAAAAAAATCGACCCACTTTCTGGTCAAGGTGCTGACGTGACCAAAAAGTAAATCGATTTTTGTAATAAAAACTAAAAGGGGTCGATTTTTAAAAAAAAATTGTTTTGAGGCTATTTTGAAAATTTATTCTATTAGTTTATATTAGTTAGTCAATCACCTTATCACCTAGTATTCCATTGTTCACAAGGTTGCAAGAAGATTCTATGTCGTTAACTCAAGAATGCCTCGTTTTAATCAATGAACGTGTACAATATGGTACGGAGATGGTATAAGTTGTGTAGTTATTGTATTGAATTATTTCACATATTATTAGGCTGTAGAACTTTCTTGTTTAATAGAAAATAAGGGTGTATGTAATCTCATACATTATTGGATGTGACGACCCACAGATACATCCGGATTAAAAAAACTTTGAAGATTGCGTGCTCGGATATAACATGTTCTTCGTGATAACACATCACAATTAATCAACAGAAGGTTATAAAAAAAATAAATGACGATTTGATTAACATATTATCTCTTAAATTATGCGCCATTTGATTTATGTTGCAGACTTCTTTTTCACACGCTATTTGTTGCGTGACTTCAAGATATCCTCCATAATTTTAATTATTGTGAGTAATATAACTTCCTTTGATCAAGAATTAAGAGGCTGAGTCTGACACGGCAAGATCTATGCAGCTAAACATGTGATTGGGATCCTCTATTAATGAGGAGGTTGCTAATATCTCTTAATGGCATCTTGGCCTTTGATTTATCAATCAAAGGTCAAGATCTCCTCATGAGCAAAAGTATGGGGGATAAGGATGGATACTGGCCTTTGATTGATAAATCTAGGGCTGTCCATTTAACCCGCTGGCCTGGGCCCGGGTCCGGGTTGCCTCAGCGGCGCCCGGTAACAACGGTCAGATTGGCCCTTTGACCGTTTTGCCCTCAAAAACGGTAAAAAAACGGCTATTTTGTGAGGTTATTTTGGTCATTTGCCTAGGGGGCTGGTTCTATAAATAGAGGGAGGTTTTCATTTGTTTTCTTCACACCAAAAACTCATCTCTTCTCTCTTATACTCTTATACTCTCTCTTATACTCTTATTTATACTTTCTAATCCTTTCATCAAATGGCTTCCGGATCTGATTATGAAGAGCAAAACATATCTCCTGATTCTGAAATGAGTCCTCCTACTATGAGTCCTCCTACTATAAGTCCTCCTACCGAAGTTAATCCCGAATCCAGTGGCGACGAATCTGCACCAAGATCTCCTAAACGGCCAAGATCCGATGTGTGGAATTTTTACGAGAAGATCGACGTCACCAAGGATGAACACAGTAGGATCCTCACCCAGAAGACTAAGTGTGTTTTGTGCGGCAAGATTTTTCAAGCTCATCATAAGAGCGACACCAACCACCTCAAACGCCATTTAGATAAACACAACAAAGGCCAGACTCCTCAAGGTGATATCCGACAATCCATGATTTCCCAATCCTCCTCTTCTGGTAGTCTCGGTAGTTGGAACTATGATGCTGCCACAGCCAGGAAATGCGTAATCAGGTTTATCATTCTTAAAAACCTTCCTTTTAAATTAGTAGAAGATGATGAATTTGAAGATATGTTTAGAGATGGTTTTTATCCTGCATTTAAAAAAATTTCTCGTCAAACCTGTCAACGTGATATTTTAAAATATTATCAGGAGGAACAAGAAAAAATAATTTCTTATTTTAAAAATTTAAACTGTAAATTTTCTTTAACTTCTGATATTTGGACATCTAGAGCACAAACTGGATATTTATGTATCACAGCACACTGGATTGATAAAAATTGGCAAATGTTTAAAAGAGTTATTTCTTTTATTGCAATAGAAGAGTCGCATACTGGTGCTAATGTTGCAAATTTAATAATTGAAGAACTTATGAAATTAGAAATTTCAGAAAGAATATTTTCTCTTTCACTAGATAATGCAAGTAATAATAATGTAGCTGTTGATTTTATTAGATCATCTTTATCATTGATTTTATCAGATCATCTTTATCATTGCCATGTCATGGTGATCTTTTTCATATTAGGTGTATCTGTCATATTTTAAATTTAATTGTTCAAAGTGCATTTACTGAAATTAAACCCATGATAGAAAAGGTTAGAACAGTTGCTTACATGCATAGTGCTTCTGAACAAAGACTTAAAAGATGGAAACAATTTTGTAAAAGAAAAAATATAAAACCTAGACTAATTCCAAAAGATGTTGACCATAGGTGGAATTCCACATATGCAATATTAAGTGTAGCAATAGAATATAAAGACGTTATAACTGATTTTATAAACTATTATGCTTCTAGTTCTAGTTCTGGTAGCACTTATGGAATAACTGAAGATGAATGGACAGTTATATGTAATTTAAATGAAATGTTACAAGTTTTTTATGATGCTACAATGTTATTATCTGGCTGTTATTATCCAACCATTACTTTAGCTGCTTTACAAATTTTAAATATTCAAAATTTTTTTGATAAATATCGTTTGGATGCTACTTTTGGACCTATGGTTTTTGAAATGGAGAGCAAATTTAATAAGTACTTTAGGCCTATTCCTCATATTTTTGGTTTGGGGGTTCTTATTGATCCATGCTTGAAGGATATTGGCCTTCGAAGTTTGTTACAATCCTTGTATGGTAATCAGGTTATAGACTTAGATGATGGAACCATCCTTACTGCTACTACTCATCATTTAGTTATTAGAAATTATTTTCAAACCTTATATGATGAGTATGCAGCTAGACATGGTGTAGCTGCACAACAGTCTACAGCTTCGGTTTCTTCGAGCTCATCCCGAGTCCAAGGTAAAAGTGTAAGTTTTGATAGGTATGCAATGGTAGCTGAGCTAACTGGTGGCTCTGGACTTGGATCGTCATCATCGGAGGTTTCTGAAATAGATGAATATTTTTCTGCTTCTTTAGTTAGATGTCAAGGAAATGCTTTAGATATTTTGCAATGGTGGAAAGTATATGGATCAGTTTCATATCCTATACTTTCCACCATGGTTCGTGACTTACTAACAGTGCAGGTTTCGACGGTAGCTTCGAAATCCGCCTTCAGCACAGCAGGTCGTTTGATCGACGATCACAGGACATGCTTGGATCCGTATACTGTACAAGCGGTGATGTGCTTACAAGATTGGTGGAGGTACGAGAAGCGAACGCAAGGCATCGATCAGATGGCTGGAATTGAAGATAAATTTGAAGAATTGGGACTAGCAGATAGATATAAAGAATAGATTGTAGTTTTTATATCTTAGCTTAAAATTTGTAAAGAATTATTTTGGAAATAATTGCAAATGATAGT